TTACATTTATGTTGCTGCTTTTATGGCAGCTTCACATTTAAACCCATTTGTGTTAATATCTAGTCAATCTTCCTACTTTAAAAAAAACCTAAAATGGGAGAGATCATATACATTCTCTGTTGCTTAATATTTGTTCTAGACATCTGCTGTGATGCAACAAATATCTATAAACTTTCAGCAATGTTGTGCAGAGGAGAGTAAGCAACAATTTGGATAATATCCAAATATATAAAATCATATTTTCTCTATATAGTGTTTGTCTTAACATCCTACCAAACATCTTGCAGTTTACAGCATTGTCTGGGTTTGGTTTGTATTTTTAAATAAGTGGATGGATTTCTTGTTTGTGCTGGCCTTAGATGAAATGAAACTCCCTTGTAGTATTTTTATTTTAAAAGTGCACTTTGCTTGAGGTGAAAAACTACAAATGTATGCCAAAGTCCTTAGTGCTTATGTAGATGTCAACTAATTATTAAAAACAGAACAAAATAAAACCGAGGCTTGGGCTCCATCTGTTCATACCTAGATACTGCTGTCTTCACACAGTTCTCCAAAGATGTATTTTCCAATGCTATTTCATAGTCTTTAAATAAACTGACCACTGATGGCACCTATCGAAGGCCATCTTTAGTCCCTCCATGAAGCACTTTGGCCCCATTCTCTTCCTGAATCAAATGAAGTGTTAATGGGTCATTTCTGCTTGATGTAGAGCCATGCTCTCCAGGCACTTAGCTCAGCCATACTGGACATATCTCCCTCATCACCAACACCACCCTGATGTTACATCGAAGAAGAAGATTTGCTAATGATCCTGGTGCTACATAACAAAATGTCCCCTCCCCTCAGGAGACTGTTAATACCCATGAGTAGCCCCCAGGGCCTCTCTTTGCTGCTCTTGTTTTATTGAGTTTTATTTTTGTGATATCTTGGTTCAATCATCCTCTTCTCTCTGCCCTCTTCCTCAGTGGAAAATAATGTTAGCTCTTGACAATTCCAGAGGACAACAGCCCTCAGACACTTGGATCAAGCTCTCTTATTCTAAAAGATGGAGAGTGGGATCTAGAAAATCTCTCCAGATCCTAATATATTAGAATTAATCTAGTAATAAAGGAGATATTTTATATGAACACTTCAAGGAAGTTGTAAATGATGCTATGAGCCAAATTTGAAGACCTGGCTCATTATCTTCATTGATGTTTACCCTTGGCTTTGTCAAAATGATTAGTATATTTATAGCCCTTTTCAATGTTTCAGTAACATTGTCAAAGTTTTCAGATAAAAGCAGTATGCATTGTACCTCAATTAGCATCAACGCATTTACTCAGAAAGTAAAATAATTACTAAGTCCTCGTCACAGGTAGAAACAGAGATTGGACAGAAATCATATCACTGTTAATCCTACCTAAAGCAACTGTGCATTTAAATTATTATGCTTTTTATATCATAAGCATATCTTTTAACATTTTAAGTCCAGTGTTGTGTTATATATTATTGCATACTTTCAAATTCTGACCAGCCTTTGGAAGTTGTGCTCCAGTTATCTGTGTGCTTATAGTTATTTGGATCAAATCCTTGCTGCTTTATTTACTTGCATCAAATAATTTTAAAAGCAAATCCTCGCATTTGAGAACTAAAAACTCTACTGTGTAAGCCCTTCTGTTTGAAACAGTACTGACCAGAACCCCAGAGACTGCCTCATCTACATGAGGCCATGGTAACTACATAGGGAACAGCCAAGAAAACTCCAGGTAACCTCACATGGCTGAGGACAAAGCAGAGGATTGGGACAGAGCTGGTTATACATCAGGTGCCTTCAAGCAGACCAACTAGAAGCACAACAGGAGTTGTTGTCTATGTTTTTGTTAGTGGTTGTCAGCAGCAGTCTGAGTTGAGTCACAGTCTTGCAGGCCTGGAAGAAACTAGACAGCATTAACTCAAATTAACACAAGAGATTTATGCCTATGGTTTTAAGTTAGGGAACTTAAGTTCCCTAACTCAGTTCATGAAGTATTATTTGTAGTAGAAACAGTTATATGGGGTTTTAGTGATCTAGTCTTTAACTCCTAATTGTGGCAAATTTTAAATGTGACATATATATATAATATCAGTCATTTAATCTTTGTGAACCTCAATTTTCCCATTAGTGAAAAGTTAGAAATTATAGTCATCTACTTTACCAGTTTGAGGAAGGCTAAATAAGATACTGTGTGGAGAAAGAAACTTTTGCTTTGACCAGTGCTTTATTGGTCCTCCAGAAAAGGAGGAGTCCATTCTTTTTCAGTGGAGCATCTCAGGCTCCTCCCTTATGGAAGTCACAAGTATACCCTTCTGAGAACTGAATCCTGGACAGTCTTGAACTAAGCAGTCCATTGATACTAACTTCCAAAGCTCTAGCTAAACTCAAGTTCAAACAAAAAATATCACTTCTAGTTACTCCAAGATGGGGTTTCATAGTAACCAATGTCCCAAAAGCCCTCTTGACTTTATTCCTGCTTATACATCATAGTCTGTCCAGAAAACCTCAGAACTCCCAAAGACTCAGCAACACGGAAGTCTGGCTTATGGGGAACACAGAGACCCTGTCTCCACCCTTCTCCACTGTTCAAATCTTCAGTTCACCTCCATTTCTCTACCTCTCCTTGCCCTGCTTAAGCCCTGCCCCTCCCCCTCCCCCATTTGGACATGGATATCAGTTCACATTTGAATAATTATGTCCCATTTGCATGTAATTTGAATTAATTGGGTTATCTGGAGTATCCTCTCACAGTTCTTTTTTTTTTTTTTTTCCTGGAAATACCTGGTTTCCTCACAGTTTCTTGTGCCCACTATTTCCTCTTCACATGGCCCAAAAGAAATATGTATCTCTGCTTTATGAGTAGAGAGATCCTGGAGGGAAGGAAAAGGAACTCATATTCATCTTTCCAGGGTTACAGAGCTGTACTTTGTGGGCAGAAACATAGTTAACAGAGGAAACATAACACATACACATGTCAGTGCTCCATTGTAGTTCCGAAAAATGAGGGTCATGGGTGTTTGAAGGAAGGTGTTTCTGCTGAGAGGTGCTGGATGGAGGGCAGTGATGAAAAGCCACACCTGCCTTTGTAGGAGGTAAGGAAAACCCACCAGCTAAAAGTCAGATTGGTGCAGCAAACTTCAACCCTCAGCATTTGTAGCAACGTGAAAAAAAAATAGGCATTATTTTTAAATGACCTCTACTGTATATTTTATTATAAAATAAACATTTTGGTGACAGAAACTTGAAAATACCAATAAGCAAAAATTTAAAAAATCAAGGAAAAAAAAAAGAACACCAGAACAGGAACCGCCCACCCCCCATACCCTTCCTCTCAGACATAATACTTTACAAATCTTTTACGTTTTTCTGGTATTTCTCTTTCTTATTAACACCTATATGATGGTATATTCTTCTGTAATATCAAATTAATGGCTCTGCATTCTCCGCTCTTCAAAGTCTTACAGCAAGAGTCTGAAGAGCGCAGTGTCCGCCTTTTGTTTAAGCAGCTTTGTTGACAAGCCCCCAGCATGGACGACATGAACTCACACTGCTCTCGATTTTCCTGAACTTTTTCTGTCAGTTACTTGTTGATGACACACCACAGTTGTTTATCTTTTCTTGAAAATATTATTCTTATTTTTGTGTGAATTTTTCGGAACAGCATCTTACCATGCAGCTTAAGACGGTCTTCTCCTTAAATCTGATCCTTCTGCCCTGGCTTCCTTAGCGCTGGAGTTACCGGTGCACGCCTCCACTCCCAGTTTTTGTGTGCATTCACTGATAGCACTCTTAATAGCAGAGTCAGTGCAGCAAATAGGGAAGAAATTATAGGTAGTAGTCATGGCTGCAGCTGTTCCAACCTGTACTATCCAATGAACACTGCAAAGGTTAACTTAATCAGGTTTGATAATATTGTTAGAAGGACTAATTCTAAATTTTGTACAGGACTCATAAGCTGGATTTACAGAATATAGTGACTATATTTCAGTTAGTTATTAAATGGTTTAGAAATGCTATTACTATAGCAACTGATAGCACTATCTGTGTTTATTGACTACTAACATTGTGACACATTGAACACACTAATTTCTTAAAATTCCACTTTAAATAGTACACTTTAATCCTATTTCACAGAATAGTAAACTAAGGCATAGAGGAGGCAGAAATTAGCCTAAGGCTAAACAAAAAGTAGTGAAGCTAAAATAAGAATAGGCTAATTTCTGCCTGAAACCTTCCCTTGCTCTAACGCACTACAGTTGGAGTGTCTAGATATGTGTTTAGCTAGCTAGGACAGTGACGTAGCTCTACTGCCGTTATAACTACTCACATTACAGATATTGGGAGTGTTTCCAAAGGCAATTAACAAGCAAAATTCACTCTGCAACATGGAACTGCAAACTACTCTTCTAGAAATACATTAGTTCATATTTCAAGGAATTAAATGATTTAAGGCTAATTTAGAGTTTGGGATTTGGGAAGCTACATTTTAGATCAAATGATAAGCGTACATTCAGAACAGAAATTAAACCACATTCCAGTCACTCGAAGCTCAACAAGGATCACAGATGCCTCCTTCAAACTCCCAGAAGACACTTTAAAATCTATAATATGTTGATCTGAAATGTGTGACCAATACGTCCCTTCTCAGCATTTCCAAGTTCTCTGTAAGACTGAGTGAAGCAGTTGCCATCACTTGGGAAAGTGATGCAGGGTGATGGTGGTGAGTACGGGCTCTGGAGAAGACTTTATGGTTCTAATGTCCATCAGCCATCTCTCTAACAGGATTCTATCCGGAATTACTGCTGAATCTGGTCTCATTAGAGATAAAATCTCCATTTTAACTCCTTTGTACCCTTAAAAATCCTTCACTGTATCCCACTATTTTCCTCTGTACCCTTTAATAGTAATGCTAAGATACATACAAAATTTCTGAAAGCATGTTCTGGCCTGCGCTTTGTATTTATGAATGGCTTTTATTCTTCAGGTAAGCTTCTGGAAGCTGCTCAGCATTATGAAGCATTCCATCAATTGACACAGGGGCGGATATGGAAGGATGAGACAGGCCACTTTCTCAACTTCTTGGCCTGTGAAAGTCTCGTGAGGACCTACAGATTGCTCGCAGACAAAATGTTGGAAAAAAAAGAATACAAACAGGCCATCAAAATTCTAATAAAAGCTTCTGAAATAGCCGAAGAAGGTGGGTGGAAAAGAACACTCTCACATTGTTTTATCTAATGGACAGACACTGGTTCTCCCAAGAGTGGAGTAAAAACTGTCGTGTTAGGGTGATTATTTCCTATGAAATGCAAAGACAAAACCATCAAATACTCTCAGATTTCACTGTAAAACAGAATTAGATGCCTTAGTGCTGACAATAAGAAATCCATTAGTTTCTTGAAAGCTTTATATCCAAAATTACAATCCACTAGGGGTACTGTTGTAAAATAAGGAACCCACAATGAGACAATAAGGTCTTATGCAAGAGTCAAGTGTATGTGTGTGTGTGTGTGTGTGTGTGTGTGTGTGTGTATGTGTGTGTGTGTGTGTTGTGTGTTAAAGGTTGTGTTTTTTGCAATCTGAGAGACCCTTTATTGTTTATAAATTCCCTATGGCCATATGTAGGAAATTATGATAAATATTTAGTTAGGGTCACTGCAATGTGCGTTAGACTTCTGCCTCTCAGAGCTCCACCTTTGGACTGGCATTGTCCACATCACCAGGAGGCATGCTCTAAAAGGCACTCTTCTCTCCATTCCAGACTGGTGGCATCAGAGTCTGTAGGCTAGCAGGATGCCCACGTGACACACATTCACACTCACAGCAATAGAAGCTCAGGGAAAGCTGCTCACATTGTTCATATTTTGCAACATCTGTATCTGTATAAAATTTAATGAAAAAATTGGAGCATATTTTCATAAGATTTCAATTTGTAACATGCAAAGAAAAATACCTATATGCTACTATATTACCATACAGTAATTTTTCTAATAGAGTAAAGAAGTTACTGTTTTGAAATAAAGTTTATTATCTCAAGGATATATTTAATTGGTTTATTAAATAACAAAAGACATTTTGAGTAAATAAGACTGATTTGGGGTATGATTTTAATTTACTAAAGAATAAAAGTAAACATTTGAACTCATTCTTTCTATCATTTCAATTTTTTAGTCACTTTGGTTGAAATATTCCAAGGAAATCACCATCAGTGAAAGATGAATCCCATTAGATGAGCTGCTTTTGCATAGATAATGAACCTGTGAACATTGGCATAAATCCTTAGCTCCTGTATCAAATGCTAGTAGCAAATTTTGGTCACATACAAAGTTATGCAGGAATTTCAATGTACAGAAATGTATGCTAGGAAAAGATTTGATTTCAATTTCACATTGACTATGTTATAGGATAGTTCGTAGAGAAAAGAAGGTTACTTGGGCCTCTCCTAACATTCAGAGGCTGCCTAGCAATCACCTTTCTGATAACAGCCATCACTTCGTAAAGAACTGATAAGGGAAACAGGAGAAACCGATTTCACATGCTATAGTAATATTTTTTGGTCTTTTTGAGACAGGGTCTCCCTGTGGCCCCAGCTGACTGGAACTTGCTATGTAGACCAGGTTGGCCTCGATCTCACAGAGATCCACCTTCTTCAGCCTCTGGAGTACTGGGATTAAAGGCATGTGCCACCATGCCTGGCTGCTGTAATAAATTTTAGTAACTTTAAAAAACCAAAGGTTATCTGTCCTTGTGTCTTCCATATAAGGAAGTACACAGGTTAAAGGGTTGCAGTATTTTATGCCCTCTGACAGCAGCTGACATGCTCTAGGATGAAACGTCTCTTCTTTTGTCTCAACTTTGGTCATTAAGGACCCCTAATACAGCAAGCTGATGAATGCCTGGAAAGTACACGCTTCCCACATTGGCTTATGTAGTATTTAAGTGATACTGACCTCCACTGAGGACTGAATCCTTCGAAAGGGCCTGTGTTGTGATGCACACATTGAGCACCAGCTTAGCATCATCATTCACTCATCTCAGTGTTTTAAGGTGCATCCCACTTGTAGCATGTACCATGACTTCCTTCCTTCTTGGGTTCAAATAACATTTCATTGTATGATTTGAGTACATTTCCTTTAATTACTCTTCAGCTGATAGACATATGAGTTGCTTTCACACTTCTGTTATTGTGAATAATGCAGTGAAGATATTTGTACATTTTAAGTGGGGTTTTTTATACATATGTGGGAACAGAAATGCTGAATTACATGTTAACTTAATATTTACCTTATTGAGGACCTACCAGTTTTCCAGAGTGGCTGTCCCACTAACTGTGTCTTTCTTCAATGTCTGAAGATTTCCGTGCAGCCACTTCCTCTCCAGTGCTTATCAAATCTATCTTTTTTTATTATAGTCATTCTAACAGATGAAAAGTGAGATCCCATTGTGGGTTTAATCTGCATGTCTCTGTTGTTTAATGATATTGGACAGTTTTTTCCCATGTTGTCTATTGGCCATTTGTGTATCTTCAATTGTGTTGCCTTTCAATTATTGGGTTGTGAGAATCCTTAATACGTCTTTCATCAGATATACGATTTGAAGATATTTTTCCCATTCAGTGTGCTTTCTTTTCACTTTTTTGCTTTCTCATTTAATCTTGATCAAATTCAACTTATCTATTGCTTTTATTTTGTTGTTTGTGATTTCAGTGTTATAACTACGAACACTGACTGACTACTCCAAGGTCACAATAATTTACCATAACATTTTATTCTGAGTTTTAATATTTTAAACTATATTTACTTTGATATACTTTAAACCACATTTAGATTTATGATCTATTTTCATTTGTGTTTGTGCTATGTGGAGGTACCAATTTCAGATTTTGCAAACTTCAACACACACACACACACACACAGGCACACACGCACATGCACATGTACATATGTATTAGTTCCTTTTCTGTTGCTATGATAAAACACCATGACCAAGGCAACTTATAGAAGAAAGACTTTATTTGGGCTTATGGTTCCAGAGGATGTGTTCATAATGGTGGGAGAGGTATGGCAGTTGTTGGCTGGAGCAGGAACCTGAGAGTTCACATCTTTATGCACAGATAGGAAGCAGAGAGAGCAACTGCATGTAGGAGAAGGCTGTGAACTCTCACCAGCCCCCATCCCCACAGTGATGTGCCTTCTCCAGCAAGGCCACACCTCCAAAAGGTTCCATGACCTGCCTCCAAAAACACCACCAACTGAGGACCATATCCAGGTGTTCAAATACTTGAGCTTATGGGAGACATTTCTCACTCAAACCATCACATTTTGCAAATCAGACCATAGATCTAAACAGCTTTGTTTCTTCCTTTCTGATCTGGTACTTTTCCTTTCAGCTTCCTAGTTTCTCTTATTATGATGTGGAGCACAGTAGTCTTAAATGGAAGTGATGCCATGGAGCATCCCTGTCCTCTTCCTGATCTGAAGTTTTCAGTCTTTCGCCATTAAGCATGATGTCAGCCAGGTGGTTTCTGTAGATGTCCATTAACATGTTCAGGAAATTTCTCACTGTTCTGAGTTTGTTGAGGGTTTTAAAACGAAAATGGATTAGATTTTGTCAAGTGATTTTTTTTGCACCAGTTGAAATGCTTTTGTAATTTCTTTGCCCCTCGTTCACCTTTTTCAAATTTTAGACAAAGCTTTTCTAACCTTTTTTCTTTTTAATTTTATTTATTTTTATTTTATGTGTATGCATGTATTGCCTGCATGTAGGTAAGTGCACACGTATCGTGCAATGCCCACGGAGGTCAGAAGAAGCTGTCAGATCCCCTGGGACTGGAGTTATGGACAGTTGTTAGCTGCCATGTGGGTGCTGGGATTTGAACCTTAGTTTTCTGCAAGAACAAGCAGTGTTCTTAACCTCTGGGCCACCTCTCCAGCCTCAATTCACTTTTTTATGTAATTTTTTATTTGAATGTTTGTGTATTTCATACAGGACATCTCAATCAATCTTAATAATCTTTATATCCCCTTCCCTGTTAGCACCCTCCCATACCACCCCCTGGAATTCATACATTCTGTCATTTGTGTTAAGGCCTATCATGTTAAGGTAGTGTCTCCAGACATCTCTCCAGTGCAGTTTCATCTCCTGAGGCCAGCCTCTGTAGAGTCCTTCACTTTAGGAAGATCAGCTCTTTCTCACCCAGCAGTAATCATTTGCCAATATTTCTTCAGCTAAGATTGGGATACATTGTCCATTTCCCCAGTTCTACGCTAGGATTTTGTCTGTTTGAGTTTGCATGGGTCTTGTGCATGCTGACACCATTGCTGTAGGTTCAAATGAGCAGGGTCCCAGGAGCACATAGGACTGTGTTTCCAAATGGCTATGCACCTCCTCCCTGGTTCTTCCAATCTTTCCACCCCCTCTTCCGTAATGCTCCCTGAGCCCTGGGGGGGGGGGGGAAGTTTAATATAGGAGTCCTGTCCAAAGACCAGCATTCTGCATACTCTTAATCTTTACACTTTGGATATTTTTGGCCTCTCATGTTCCTGGCCCTCTGTTGCATGAGGGAGCTTCATTAATAAGAATTGAGAGATGCATTAGTGTCCTCTTTGCTCCTTGTTCTATGTTCCATGGGCCTGTGGTGTAGGGATTGCACTGTAGATGTGCCACTTAAGCTTGGGCAATTCACAGACAATGTCTGTGTGTGACCAGTTGTGGAACTCTGTAACTATCTCTGTCTCTTGAAAAAGAAGTTTTTTTGATGGGTGATGACTGAGATACTTGTTTTTAAATGTAAGCATACATATTTTTCACATACTAAGAAATTACGTTAGTGTAGGAATGTGACAGTCTTGGGATTTTCTCTAAGATCTATGACTTCTCTAACCATGTGTATTTGGCTATGTTTACATTACCACACATGAATTTCCTCCCATTGAGTAGGCTATTATCCCAATTAGGTAGCTGTTGATTGCCCCCGTGATAAAAGTGCCACTACTGCACCAATATCATGTACTGTGCCCATCACTGATGTGGTTCTTTGGTCTTGAAGCTGATGTTGGACCACTAATTCATGTTCTCCTTAGCACCTTGCATAGTGCTCTCCAAAGTTATGAGAGCTCGCCTTCAGGGGAATTGACTTCCAGGTCTGTTCCAGCTCCATTACTCCAAATCCTGTGTCCGAAGTATGTTCTGTCTTCAGCAGTAGGGTCTGACCTTCAAGTTCTGAGAGGCCATCAAGTGCTGTGGCAATAGCCTGTGTAATTTTTGGAGTCGCTTGGATCACCCTGGTCAACCACTCAAAGGAGGGTTTCTCCTGTCTGCCACTGTTTCTTGTTATGAAGCCTTTAGCAATACACATGAATTTGTGTGGAGATACTGAATGTGTAATTCGTCATTAGGTTGTTGGACTAATATGATTCCCTCCGGTTTTTTGTACTAACTGGGCATTATTTGTCTCTCCTCCCTCTCCCTGTCTAACTCTTCCACCATAGCTTCCCCATTTAAAGTGTCCCCATTTTCCCCATTTCTCCCTTGATAATACCAGTTTTCTATGGTCCCACCTCTCTTGAGCTCCTTCTTTCCTTTTATCCCCAAGGTTCCTTGTATAACCCATCCCTCCCCAAATTGAAACAGTAATATTAAACCTCCAGACTACAAAAAGCCCAGGCCCAGATAGATTCACAGCAGAATTCTACTACACATTTAAAGATCTATTTCCAGTACTATTTAAATTATTCAAAGAGATAGAAACAGAGGGAGAGCTCCCAAATTCCTTCTACAAAGCCAGCATCACTCTAATACCAAAAACCAGATAAAGATACAACCAAAAAAGAAAACTATGGACTCATATCCTTAGTGAACATAGATGCAAAAATTCTCAACAAAATACTTACAAACCACATACAGACACACATCCTTCATTCCCTTAATATGATAGATATTAGTACAATTAATATTGATTTGTGTATGTTGAATCAACCTTAGGCCCTAGAATAAATCCTACTTGATCATAGTGTACAATCTTTTTATGTTACTCAACTTGCTTTTTTGGTATTTTTATGCATGTGTGATTTTTTCCCCTATATCAATAAGAACCCTTGATTCATAAGGTTTATTGATTTAGTTTCTAGTGCTGTCTTTATCTGGCTTAATGTCAAAGTGATACTGGCTTCAGAAGGATTTGGGAAATATTCCTATGCATTGCTTTAAGAAATCTGTAAGGGATTAGTATTAATTCTTCCTTGAATGTTCCATGAAGTTTTCTAGCAAGGACTCCTGGAACCAAGCTTTTCTTTGTAGGGAGTTTTCAATTGCTAAGTCAATTGCTTTGCTGGTTGTGGTCTTATTAGAAATTCTTGAATTAACTTCTTGAGTTAATTTCAGTGTTTGTGTCTTTCTGAGACATTGTCATCTAGTTTATCTAGCTTGTTAGTATAAAATTATCTAGATAATTTTCTTATAATCATTTTTATTTCTGTAAGGCCTATAATTATTTCTGTTCTTTCATTTCTGAATTCATTTTAAGAATTTGAATAGTTTTTTATTCCTTAGTCATTATAGTTAAAGGTTTATCAATTTTATTTAATGTTTGTTCGTTTTGTTGATTTTCTCTTTTTATTTCCATCTAGCATCATTTCCTTATTTCTGTTTGTTTGGCGCTTGCTTCAATTTCCTTCCTTGTTTTTGGTATAGCTCCTTATAACCGTGAACACTCCTCTGTGTGTTTCTTTCTTTTTACTCATCTGTTACTTAGCAGTATGTTTATGTCCGTACAGCCGTGAGTTCCCCACAGTTTGCATCTGTACATACTCTTAGTTCCGTTCGGTTGTGGATGCTGCCTTCCCAGTGACGTCTTCCCCGACAAACCCGACAACGCTTTGCCCTCTCACCTTCGGCCCTCCGTGTTCCCCTTCCCCTGCTGTGTAATGCTGCCTTCCCAGTGACGTCTTCCCCGACAAACCCATTAGAGCTGAAACACGCTTTGCCCTCTCACCTTCGGCCCTCCGTGTTCCCCTTCCCCTGCTGTGTCCCCACAGTGCTTACCACCATGCAACCTAACACAGTCTATCACTGCTTTCTGTCTCTGTCCCTAACTTCTAAAATAGAAGTTCTGATATATTTGTCACTCACTTTTAACGGTGCCGGTATTTCAGGTTGGCCTGGTTTTTTTAATGACACTTTTCTGTTGTTTTATTTCTCTGCTTTTGTTTTCTTATAACGTTGTCTTGGTTAATATTAGGAAAAGTTACCCAGGTTTAAATGTTATTTGTGTTTTATTTATTCATTTATTTACTTAGTGGTACCAGGGATGGAACCCAGGTTTCTGAACACAATTTGGGACATTCTACTGCAAAGTTAAGCTATTGGCCTTTCAAGTTCTTTTTTTTAAACTGATACAGTATTCCTCCCTAACTGCTTCAGCAGCTACCTCGAAACCTACCAGCACTGGTAGATTTTCCTTTCTTACCTCCTCTTTGCTGACTTGCACTTCATATATAGTTCAATGCAAATGATCGTGCCATAGCGAACTAGACAGATGATAGCATTACAGTGTGGTGATACTATTTAAATTTTATTACGACCTTTTATACATATAACTTTACTTTTCTCACATTCACCCCTTCCCACCTTCTCCCATCATCCTTCCCTCCTCTCACTAGTCCCCCAAACAGATTCCTTTCTGCTTCCATGTTACATGTGAATGTTATTAAATCTAGATCCCACATATGAGAGAAAACGTGCAATATTTTGTCTTTCTTCCCATCACCATTCATTTAATGCAGCAAATGCACAGCACACGCCATCAACTTCGGTTTACCCAGGAGGTCTCTGGCACAGCGGCCACTGTCTTCTACTCTACCTTTCGTTTCCCCAGATTCACCCAAAGCCCATCACCCATAACTCTAAAGCAGAGAAGAAATGAGGACACTGCTGTGATGAGCTAACATCCCCCAGACTGCATCACTGGCACCATCAAGTCTGCTAAAGTGAGACCTAGTAGTACATATCTCTGCAGTCAGTGAGACAGTTAGGAAAGAAAACCAGATGCTGTCACTGGAATCTGCCATCCTGTTTCCTTGGCATCTTCCAACGAAGCTGGGGCTTCACCAGTGATGACTCAGTGGGTGATGAGAGTGAACCCAGTGTGGAGAACTGAGTGCCTGAAATCTTGTATGGTTAGAATACAGAGATCCAAAACCTGAAAATACTGTGCAGAGGCCTAAATCAACATGGATTTGTCAGTGTTTGTATTTCCAGGAGTTAAATGACATCCAAAAGCAGTAAAAGAATAGTATTTAAATTAGGAACATTTTTAAAAATATTTTTATTGAGCTTTTGTAATTTCAAACAATAGTTATCAATCAAATGTAGGCTCCCCCCTCCCCCATCAATACCCCTATCCTCCCACTGGATCTCATGTATACAACAGAGTGGGATGCACACCAAAGGCCACAACTGGCCAAGTTTTAAAGAATAAGAAATTGCAGAGTGTGTATCCTTGGATAGAACTCTTATATTAAACCTCACCCACCCACAGCTCAGAGACCTTTCTGGAAGAGGGGGCAGAAAGATTGTAAGAGCCAGGGCTGGTTCATGAACACAGGGAAGCAGAGGCTTTCAGGCCGCTGGAATCTTGCACACATGAATTTGTGGCAATGGCGGCATCAAGCACAGGACCCATGCCAACTCAGTTAAAAAGGGCCCAGAGGGGAGGAGAACAATGGGTGCAGGCTGGCCCTGAAATAGGAACTTTTAATAGTTATTTCAGATATATTAAATTTACATGTTACATTTCCATAGTAAATGTACTATACATGTATCAGGTGGTACAATATAACTCTTATTGAACCACACATTACACCTTTACACATTTTGGTTTTGGAAAGAATAGGGTAGCTCCTGGAATAAATGTATCACAGAAATTCATTAGAGAGGAGAAATTCCTTGCAGAAAGATGATGGACAGCATTACCAGTGCTTAGCAAAGGAGAGCATTCTTCTAGTTCAGTGTGTGTGTGGACCTTTGTACCAAGAACTCTGGCTCTGCTGGTCATTCTCATGTGAGTTTTAACCAAAGTTGAATATCATCAGACCAACCATTCTTCATTTGCTAATCACGAATTCTGTTGGAAATTTAGCAAACTGGCATGAGTATGCAACCATTTAAGCTGTTATATATTATCAGTTGTTTCATGTGAGCTGTTGCAGACATGCTGGACAATTGTGTATGGTGGACTAGGATAAATATTCCCATCAGAAGTGTATACTATGCTGGGTATAAAGGGAAACTCTTAGTAGTTACATTGCTAATGCACTTTACCTTATCATTTGAGATCCAGATAATGAATGTGTGTGTTTTTTTCATGCCAGTCAGTTTCAAAGATCACTGATAAGTGTATATGTTTTTTAAAGAATAGTTTTCTAGTGTCTTTAAAAAAAAAAAAAAACAAGGATTCTGTTTGTTGTGGCAATTTCCATGGTAATTTTTCTGTATCCTCACTTCAGGAAATGACAGAAACACAGTGGGGGAAGCTGCCTACTACCTGGGCTTAGCCCACTTGGCTGCAGGAGAACATGAAACTGCACTAACAGTGAGTCGGAGTGAACTCTTAATCCTTGCCACTTTCATCATCATAATTGTTGATTATATTGTATGTTACTATAAGGTCAAAGGAGATGGGTTGGGCCTAACATCAGTATACCTATTTGCAGAGGCCAAACCCAAATAGCAGTATGCCAGAAATGTGAAAAAGTAGGTTCTACTGGTTACAAAAGGTAAGATGTAGTCAAGTACCATGAATGCTTTATGGAAGCTAAATGCATGGAGTGAGACTCTCTGTACTATTCACCAAGGACAAGAGGAAATCAGTTGAAATGATAAAAATAAGCAAATAGATGGCGATTAACCCAAAAAGCTACAACTGGTCAAAATATAGAGAATAAGAGACTACAGAGTGCGTGTCCCTGGATAGGACTCCTGTATTAAATCTCTGCCATCCAGGTCTCAGGAACCACAGCAGAAAGACTGTAAGAACAAGGGGTGATAGATGACCACAAGGACACAGAGTTTTTCAGGTGACTGGAAATTTACTCACATGAACTTATAGCAATGGTGACAGCATTCAAAAGACCCATGAACACTCTATCTGACAAAAGACCCAGGCACACTCTATCAGACAAAAGCTCAGCATAGAAGTACGGAAATGGGTAGGAAGCCCCAACCTTAGTTGAGGAAATATTGGCAGCTGATCACTGCTGGGTGAGGGAGAGTTGGTCTTCTTTAAGGGAGTGATGCTACATAGACTGGCCAGACTCCAGTGGATGGACTCACACCAGGGGACATTTGGGGACACAGTCTTGACTCAGTAGACCTTAACATATGTGACAGAAACCATGAAATCTAGTGGGGGGGGAGCTGTCAGGGGTACAGATAAGAGAGAGGGTCTAAATGTGATTAAGATGTAAAATATACAAAAATTCAATTTAAAAAAAGAAGAAAAGCAGTAAAAATATAGTAATTTTATGGTATGGTATGGTATGAGGAATTTTGCTTACAAAAAATGTGGTTATTTGGGGCTAGAGAGATGGCTCCATAGTTAAGAGCACTGGCTGCTCATGCAGAGGACCTGGGTTCTATTCCCAATATCCATATGGCAGCTCACAACCATCTGTAGCTCCAGATCCAGGGAATCTGATGCCCTCTTCTGACATCCTCAAGCATTGCATGTCACAGGTACACTTACACACATGCGGGTAATATACTTATATATAAAATAAAAATAACAAATAAAAAAACTTTAATGTGGCTATTAAACAATGTGGGTTGCATTGATGTAAAGCTTTAGTGGGTGAGGTGGGGTACAGCAAGAAAAGTGAGAGGTTGTTAGTCCCAGGCTCTGAAGCACCTTACTTCATGAAAAAATCAGTGCTTGTCTATTGTGACTGGACTTTGTCTGGCTGAAATACAAAGAAGTAAAAACATAATCAAGTTATGTTTTCTATAATATAACTGAGTTCACTTCTCTTTACATATTCTGTTACCACTAATGTGTATAAAATGTGGCTTCCTAATCACTTCACATACATCCCGTATATTTATGAGGAAGCACTGATCTTCCTAAAGCAAGAGACTCGAGATAGGCTGAATAGACCTTGGTGGATGAACTTGCACTGAGGGACGTCTGGGAACACTAACTTGATGCAATAGACCTTAAGACAAATGACAATGTACGGATTCCAGTGGGGGGGTGTTATGGGAGGGCCAGTAGGGAAGTAGGGAAGATGATTAAGATTGATTGAGATGTTCTATATGAAATACACAAAAATTCAATTAAAAAGATGTATAGTGTTAGTTTAATGCTTAGTTTTGAGGATCTCATTGGTTCCTTTAGATATTTGTGCTAGGTAGGATTCCTATCTTTGGGTCACATGTTATTTCCAGCTCTTTTGAAACTGGTCATCATAAAAAACATGGTTTTCCTAGATGACTCTTCTGCTTAATATTTTGCTGTCAGTGATGTGTGTTTCGCAAAGCTCTGTTCCAGCTGCTTTGGGGAGCATAGAGACCCATATGATGCACATTTTCCTGCAGGAACTAATCTAGTGAAAGTGACCAGCTTGGAAACATAATTGTAATTCAAAGCAGTATAGACCTCTGAATGAAGAGAGAAGAGTGGTGGGTTCAAATGCTGAATAACAAGGAGCTGGCAGAAGAGCTGTTGAGGGGCAAGGTTTCTATATGCAGAACACACAGGAATCAAAGATGACATAAACACAGATGACAGTACACATAAACACAGATACAAAATGAACATGCTCTGTGTTTGGGAAGCAATGAATTGTCTGAGGAAAGACAAAACGTATTAAGATATCAAGCTGAAAAATTAGAAAGCAGCATAGTGGCATATGTCTGCCTCAGGAGACTAAGGCAGGATTCTGTGAACGAGAGGCAGCCTGAGCTACAGAGCAAGACTATGTTTCTAAAAATGAAAAGGGAAGCGAGAGGAAAATTAGGTGAAAATAACTAGCTTATAGATTCATAATCTCTCTTCCCCTCCCCCTCATACCTATAACAAAATAAAGTCAAGTAATGAGAAATTTCCCTCCCATCTCCATAATCAGTTTCACATTTTTTTCCTTTTTCATTTCTTTTTCAAAATTCCTTTTCTAAGATGCAAATATAGTTATAACTTTCTGACTTATCTTTCCAAAATATTCAATATATGCATTCCATATAAATGCATATAAATGTGTCCTTTTGTTACATATGAAGTGATTACTTTTACACATTGTTCTGTGCCTTGAGTGAACCTCTTCCATACTAATATAGACATGTATCACTTTATTTTTCCTTTTCAGCTTCACTGATATATGATTAGCAGGTAAATATTATATATGTTTAAGATGTAAAACATGATTTTTGACATGTGCATAAATGGGAACATGATTACCCCAATAAAACTATTAACCTATCCATCATTTCACACTTTTACCTTATTTTGTGAAAAAACTTAAGACCTACTCGCTTAGCAAATTTCAAGTATAAATATAGATATGCCTCATTTTAAAAGGGTTTCATGAAGCACATTCGGTTGTTTTATAGCAGAGTATGTCCAATACATTTTTATTACAAATTGTATGTGTTATGACTTGGGTATGAAATGTCCCCTTAAAAGACTCATATTAAAAGCTTAGTCCCCAGTGCGATGTTCAAAGGTGGGGCTTTGGGAAGTTTGTGAGCTATGAGGACACTTCCTTCACCAATGGACTAATTCCACTGATAGACTTATGATAGAAAGACATTATCGGGGATGTGGAGAAAACTTTTAGTGGTGGAATCTAATATGAAGAAATAGATTGAACCAGTCACGGTGGCTCAAAGCTGTGTTCCTAATACTTGGAAATCTAAGGCAGGAGGGTTGCTGTGAGTTCCAAGACAGCCTGGGTTACAGATCAAGACCTTGTCTCAAAACATCTAAAAGCCCAGGACTGGAGAGATGGCTCAGCAGTTAAGAGCACTGGCTGTTCTTGCAGAAGACCTGGGTTCAAATCTCAACATCCACATGGGGGCTAACAACTGTCCATAACTCCAGTTCCAGGGGATCTGACGCCCTCTTCTGTCCTCCATGGGCATTGCCCAACATGGGTGCACTTACACACATGCAGGCAATACACTTATACACATCAAATAAAAGTAAACAAATAAAAATATTTTTAAAAAAAATCAAAAACCCTAACAAACAAAATGGGCCCTTTGACATGGCTCAGGTTAAGGTGCTTGCTGCCAAGCCTGACCATCTGAGTTCCAACCCCAGAATCCATATGATAAAAGGAGAGAACCAGCTCCTACAAGTTGTCCTCTGACATCTACACATGCACTGTGGCATGTGTACATAAATAAACAGACAGCCATACAAACAAACATAAAAATAAATAAATAAATAATAAATAAATAGTTGGAGAAGGGTGTAGTGGGAAAATTTCTTGAAACTATTACTGTTCTAAGGAAAACTTTTTTCTAGGAGTGTATATGAATCATGTTTACAACCCATTAACTGAATAACCTCAGGCAACTCCCTCAAGCTCTTTAAGTCCCAGTTGACTCTGACTAACATGGATACATACTCTATTGAATGTAGTGGGTTAAATCCTATCCCCTCCTCAAAGATTCATTTCCTAATCCCTAGATCCAATATAATTAGCATAGGGAACATGAGATAAGGTAATTAGCCTAGATTAACTGGGGCTCAGCATGAATCCTGCCTCAGTAAATAACATAGCAAGAGATGGAGGAAGTCATCTGACACTGACTTCTCCTTCATGCACTCATGCACACACACGAAAATAAGAAATAAAAATGAAAAACCTAGCTAAAATAAGATAGTAAGGAGAATGAAAAGACATTGTTTTCAAACCAGAAAATTAACATAGATTAAAGTAGAAAGGAAACTATATTGGGGGAAGAGGACTAAAAGCAAAGGGCAGTAGGGCATAAGCCAGTAAGGAGTGAGTGTGAGAAAAGTACGTAACACATGCATGGAAACGTGTTACAACGAATCATATTATTTTGTGCCCTCGTTAAATGAAGAAAAAATTGCCAGGTTTGCAGTGCAGCAAAAATCAACTGCCGTCTAAAACCAGGACAGTATGCAGTATAAAGTTGCTATTCTCCACCCCTTTAACTCAGTTATACCACCATGCCAGAAGCACCCCTATACCAGGTTCACCCCTACCCAGAAAAACTCTTCATAACTTTTGAATTGATTTCCCGCTATCTTCACTAGCACTACTCAGATCCAGAGACTTCACTTAATATACTACTACTACTACTGCTACTTCTAAATGATAATTGAAGGTTTACTTTTCAAGCAGACACATTTTTTTTTTTTTTTTTTTTTTTTTCAACAGGGAAATTTTGTCTTTTTGCAACAGGGTCTCCCTGTAGCCTCAGCTGGTCTGGAACTTGCTACATAGACCAGGTTGGCCTTGAACTCACAAAGATCTGCCTGCCTTTGACTCCCAAGTGCTGGGATTGAAGGTATGTGCCACCACGCCAGGTGATGTTTGTTTTTCTGGGTTTTGTTGCTGTTTT